CAGGAATGGGTTCCCAGTGTTGTTCTCTTGTTTCAAACCCAGTTTGAGATGAGAAAATTAAATAAAGGCCAGGACACTTTCAAGCAAAGCTGCCTCCTTGCATCTTTGGATCCACTGAATTTAACGACAGCAGCGGAGCAGCTGTGGCTGAGTTCCTGTGAATGTTTTGGGCATTTTCTTCTCCAATGTAAAGCAGGTGGACTTGCCCTGTGAGTAGGATTGTGTTTGTTATAAATTTATGTGGTGGGACCACTTCATCCCAGTGATGGTCTGCACATTGTTGCAGATAATAATTTCCACAGGCAACATAATTTTCTCTAATTTCTCTGCCATTTTCCCATGGGGGAGCAAAGCTAATTCGGTTGGGAAGGGTTTGGGTGTTAACCATATTCTTGCATCTCTCTTGCTTTGTCACGCAGACACTCACTAGTGCTGAGGAAAGCATGCCTTCGTGTAGCCAGTATTAGCAAAGCAAATTTCTGTTTCAAATGACCAAAGGGATGGTGGCTGAGGCAGGATCCACCTATTAGCGGCTACACATCACTAGGCAGATGTAAGTAGAGAGGTTGTTAATCATAGCTTTAGGTATTTAGGAGGTATTATTAAGCCCTGCTTGCAAACTTGTTCCCAAACCTGGAATGACAGAAAATGTTGTAATGAAAGTAAAATTAATTTGGAAATCACTTAAAGGAAGGTGGATGTTTTGAAGAGGCTTAAAGGCCTGCTGGGTAGATGAGGAGCCAGACAAGCTGGGATCCTATTTGTGCCTCTGCTTTTCTGCCTTTGGTCTTTGACCTTGCTTATTTGGCCTTGGGAAACTCCCTTATAAAAGTGCCTGCTTTTATAAAAGTTGCTCTTTTCCCAGTGTCCTGACACTGTCTAGTGCAATGGAGGCCACAAATCTGGGATGGCCCTCTAGATGCAATGTAATCCAACTTATATGCAATGAGGAGGCTGAGGAAGAGGCTGATCTACCCTGGTCCACCTGTATACCATGCAACCCCCTCCAGAAGGTCCCTGGCACGAATCTTTTCTACAAAGAAGGTGAAAAGTGAAGATACAACATACCCGTTGTTTGGAATTCAGCATCCCCATCTCAAGATCATTTTCACAGTTTTTGGCCTTAGATTTGCAGAGTTTTATGAGGCACATTTTTATTCTCAGTATGAGATAATAAAATGATTTAGGGCTTGGCACTAGATTAAAAGGAGCAGGTAACGTCCTCCCTTCGTCAAAGTAGGATAGCCAGAGCTTGGCACGTGCAAACTTCCACTCCACATCTGCATCCTCCTTGGGAAAGGAAGAGGAAAAAAAAAAAAACAAACCACAACACCCAAATGCATAGTTAGTAAATAGGAAGGAATTTAGCTATGACAAGGACAAACATACAGGTAGGGTTTAACTAGAATCAGATTTCTGTTTGCCAAACCAAGACCCATGCACACAATGTTTCTTTGTAGGCTTCTCTGTGGTGACCTCAAAATAAGGAAAATTTGAACAAAGCAATGGGTAAACAGAGAGTATACGTCTTCCAAATACTAGACTATTTCCTTGGATATCAAGAGGGTTGCCTTTCAGTAACAATCTGGTGCTTGTGTTATGTTGATAAATGAATGTGTCAGAACATATACAAAGTCATGGAAAGCAGAAGAAACTTTTATGTACACAACAACAACAAAGACTGATTTACTGCAATACTATCTAACTGCCACCTAACTCTTATCACTGCATTTGCCAGGAATCCCCCATAGAAGGGACTGGGCCACTGGTTTCTTCTATTATTAGCTCATTTCCTCATTGATCCTGTTTGCGTTCACCATCAAATATCTCTAGATCAATACACCTTAATTCTCTTACTATTCACCTCCTGCCGCTGATGAAGGTGGAGTAAAAGTCCATCACTCAGTGCCTGTAAATCTCCTTTATGAACTATCAAGGTGGGCCGTGATCACTTCCAAGTACAAGGGCAAGGTTAGTACATACTTTATGGATCTGCTTGGCATTTCTATAGGAGGATGGTCAGGGCCGTGTATCAGGACTATTTATCAGGCAAAAGAAAGGATGAGTTACAGCTGCTCTACAGCTGTTTTCATTGTGGTTTATATGGAGGCCAGCAGCATCAATAGAAACATGGGTCTGCCAACACCCCGTACTCATGCACATCTGTGTTCTGCTGAAATTAATAACCTCTGATTACCCTGTAGCTCTGAAACCCAGTCAAAAACTGGCATAACAGAACTGAGATTAATTCTGTCACAGTTACAGCAATATGACTTCGCCAATGGAGCAGCATTCACTTCTGCCGTTTGGCCTTCTCATTGCTTGAGGTTGCACCTCACAGAAGCCTTAAGCTGAATTAGTGGAAATCACTTGTGAACTGTTTTAGTGATTTTCTGTTAAGCAACCAAGGAGCTCCTGGTGGAAGTAGTTCTGGTTTCTGGCTGGCAAAAGGATTTTTTTCTTTCCATAAATGCAAAGTTGGCAGAAAGCACTAATACTTGAGGCACTAACAGAATAAAATCAGAAGTAGCTGGAGAGATATGTTCAATGGAAAGCATGAGAATATGGTCTTGCCACTCCAGCTAACACTAAAACATGTCTCTACTGACCATAACGGAATTAAATTCCTAAGTAATGACCATCTTCTCTTGTTATTGACATTGCTGTCATCAGATAAACACATTGGCAAAAGGGACTTTCTCTGCAGTCAGTAGGATGACTCTGTCTTTAATCTCCCTGCTACTGAGGATTGGAAGGAACTAGTATGAGATTTACCAGTTTTTCCCAGTCCTCAAGTAGGAGGATCTGGACCAAATAGCTCACACTTGTTTTGTTTGCTGATAGTTACAAGTAGTCTTTAACAAAGTTTTGAAAATTTCCATGCAATTAAGAAGGATGATAAAGTATTTTTCCAGGAAAATGGTCATCACAAAGTTTAGACCAGAAAGTTAATATAGGCCACCTATTCAGGTTTTTTTAGAGAATTTTTGTCAGAAACTTTCAAGAGCTTCTCTACCTACTACAATAAACTAGAAAATGCAGTAAGAGGCTGAGACCCCATCAGAAGTAAATCTTGTTTCAGTAGAAAAGAATTCAGGAAGATGCTTGATCCTAAGTGATTAGAAACCTTTGGGGAAATGACTCTGCCTTCTGCATGCAGGAAATCTTCTGGGGCAGAGAACATATGTAAGGTCTCTCTGACATTTAGACTTAGTTACAGCACGGAAAAGATAGAGTTATATTTGCACTACAGTACATGGATGAATCAGACATTACAGTGAGAAAATATTTTCAGCTCTGGCCTTTTGCATTGTCAGGTTCTGAGGGGAGATTAGAACAAATAATTAATACAAACCCAACTACAGAAACTTGACATTTAACAAATCAGAAGAAAGAGGTGACTCAGTATTAACATTATCCAAATAAATTTTTTTTCTGCCTTTATTTATATTAGCAGGGAGTTGTTTATGTCCAAAGCCTTCAGCAGATCCAGTCTGCTAATAGCAATACTACTGAACAAGGTTGGGTAAACCCTGCAAACACCTTTCTGCAGAAACCTATTCATATTCCTTGACGGCTGTGTTCATATCCTTTAAAAGCTGCTTTTTGTGAACGTTCATGCAGTTAAGTTTTGCAGACCTAGACACTCCTCAAAAAAATCTATATCAAGCTTGTATACCTGGTATTTGGAAAATATGGAATTTTTAAATAAGCATACATGAGTTTCATAGAATCATAGGATCGTTTAGGTTGGAAAAGACCTTTAAGATCATCCAGTCCAACCATTAACCTAACATTACCAAGTCCACACTAAACCAAACAAGGGTAGACTAGACTAAACCATGTCCGAAAGTGCCACCTCTGCCCGTTTTTTGAAAGCTTCCAGGGATGGGGACTCCACCACCTCTCTGGGCAGCCTGTTCCAATGCTTGACTACTCTTTCCATGAAGAAATTTTTCCTAATATCCAATCTAAACCTCCCCTGGTACAGCTCGAGCCCATTTCCTCTTGTCCTATCACTAGCTACTTTCAGACCTATATGGGCATGGGCTTTTAAGCAGTAGAGAGCAGGGCAAAAAGCCAGATGAAATATTACTTGATCTATCATAAACAAACAACGCAGCTAAGGTAACAGACGTGAATAAATTACCATAACCAACATAGTAAAAAATATCACAAGCTGCTTTCGTTAAATAGATGTAAAGGAAATTTGGTTTACTCACAGATGGTCATTAACAACAAGGAAGTTGAAGTTGTTCTAGAAATGATTATTTGTTAATTATTAATTCAATCCAAATTTGGGGAGGGCAGACACTGCCTTAACTCTTACACAGCATAAGATCTGTGTTTCAACAGCACTCTAATCTTGCGTAGGGAATAAGCTACAGCTTCCTTGGTTTTTTTTAACATTTTCATTATCAGTCATAATTAAGTACATTGAGTTTATAACCTGATTTCTTATCTTACCTCAATTTCCTGATAGGAGTTGTTGATCATGGCTATTAGCATATTAAGCAGCACCACCACCATAGTCACATTATATACTCCATAGAGTACGTATCCAATATTCTCAATGAATTTATGATCGTACTTCAGCACCACAGATATCACTTCAGATAAGCCAAATATTGACCAGAATAAAGTTTTAAAACTTTCTTCTACCCTAAAAATAAAGCAAACAATCACTTTAGAGAGTTGATACCAGGTTAGCCAGGCCAAATGCTAATAATAAAAGTGGCAAACCACCAATATAAATATGATGCCTTGGCCACAGTAATTGTAAGCCATTATCCATCACCCAGGGATGTGCCAAATCATATTTCCTGATTTGATAAATAAATACAATTTCTGATTGATACCATACAGTTACAATGTCCCCTTATTTGCTCCATCTGTTCTTCTCAGGTGTATTATTTGTCACTTGGATTTTATTTCCCTATTAAGGACTTCTTCATGGGCAACCTGCAGTTTGAAACTTTTTGTGTGGGGCTTTTTACTTCTATCCACTCACCTTTTTCTCGTCCAGAGACGACAGGCAGAGATTATTCAGGAAAGGGAAGAAGGAACCTAATTTGACCTCCTTATATGCGCTTTCCAGGGCAGAAGAGAAGCATTACTTTTTACCCAGGAGGAGTGACTGAAAAGTTCTGATTAGTGGCATTAATATAGCAAGCGCACAATGCAAATATAGTCAGCCCATAGTCTGATTTTCTTCCCATCCTGCTTTGGGACTGCAAACAGGTCAGATGCCCAAGCATTGGTAGCAAAAATTTGAAATTAAGGAGTTGTGGAAGATGTTGCAGAGAGGCATTTTGATTTGATTTGATTAATACCCTTGCTTGAAAGTAGAAAGAACCAGAGGAAAATAAAAAGGTTGAAAGGTAGGAAAAAAAGAGGGGAATAAGCCAATAACAAAGAGAAGTGGAGCTGGAAAGGATGCAGCTGGACTGACAGGTCAAAAGGAGAGTCTGATCCAGAGGAGTCAAATCCACAACAGGCAGAAGGGGGAGCAGTCACAGCTGAAAAGGAAGGAAGGAAGGAAGGAGGAGGAGGGATGTTGGTAAATTTTGGAAGCAGTTTGCTTAATTTTTGATTTAGAAACAATTTTGCCTTCACTGAACAATCCTTAGCATGTTAACAGTTAATTACCTCCCCTCTCCCCCTGCCTGCCAGGAGGTAAATGCCTTCTTAGAAAGCAATGCGATTGACAAATTATTTTGAAGAAATATTTTTTACTAGGGTAGCAGCCTAATCCTGCTAAATCTGTTCATAAAAACAGATTATATACACAAACTATGACATATTCTAAGGGAACGATGAGCTTTACATCAACTCCAGTATCAATTACACCATGCATAAAACCAAAAGAAATTAATTTCAACCCTTTGAAAGGCTAGTGGAGAGCACTGGGCAATTTCTTTCTGCCACAGCAAACTGGTATTTATCACCCATCATAACTTATAGTATTCCATGTTCCATTTACAAGTAGTAGAAAGACTGCAGTAAATATTTAGGTTTTATTCTCAGCCAGTATAACTGCATTGCCTTGTGTAACCTTGAGTGGTGTTTCAAGTAGATGTTGCCCAACTTCATTTAAAATGTGGCTTTGTCTTCAGTCTCCGTGATACCCAGAGTCACTAATATCATGTTCACCCCCCTTGCTGCTTTGCACGAGGCTGGGACACCATGCAAAGAGACACTTGTGGGATGAGCTATGACTGTGCTGCAAACAAGTGCCATCACTTTTCCACTTGCTGGACATTTCCTCTCCTGTAACACTCTGCTCTTGTCTCCTGCCCTCACCTGCAGCAAAGGGTAGCTGGCATTAATGTGTCAGATACCCCGCAATTTTATGGTAGCAATCTGGCCAGCACTTATTTTATAAATGTTGTACTTTTCAGTTAAAGAACACATATAACACCAAAAACCTTTGGCTTTGAAACCCACCACCTAAGTCACTTATCAAACTAATAAAAACCATAACCCCCAGCCTTGATCCCAGCTGCACCCTGCTATTAACCTTCCTTCTTTAATTTGGAAAGGTTCCTTTAGTTTTCCACCCTGCTGGCAGATTTTAATACAACTTGTCAACTCTGCTCCTTTTCTGCAGCTTAAGCATTAACCTTTGCTCTGGAGTGGTGCCAGATTCTCCTTGAAAAGTTAATTAAGGACTGCGAGCGGCCTTGACCGCCCTGAGTGCTGCAGAGGCGGCAGGCAAGGGCAAGGGTGCTGGGCGCCAGTGTAAATGTTTATAGTCCTTATTCCCAGCGTCAAGTAAGGGAGCAGTGCCCGTGGTGGTGGGACTAGGAAGGTGGTGTGAGAGGTGGACCTGATCCGTAGCACCCCAAAACGGTGCTTAGCAATGCCCCAGGCAGATGCAGGTCTCCCTCTTGTAGAGGAAACATTTCTAAGGAGACCCTGTACTAGTCCATCCCTATCCTCCAAAAAGGCTGGATGGCTCTTTCCTTCTCCCTTTTAGATTACTGCCAAATTGCATGAGATTTGGCACAGGTCACAGGTCACATCAGCTGGGTTGTTGTTTTTTTTTTTTTTTGAGAACATCTCACTAAAACATGAGATGAGGATGTTTGGAGCCAAGTTCTCAAAGATTCCAAGATGCTGATGTGTCTCCTCGTTGCCAGCTAAGCAATTTACCCCCTTCCTGCAAGGTCAGCGGGTGTTTTATCCTTCTCAAAGGCAGACAAATGAAGGAACAGAGGAAGTCAGGAGTCCTGCCCAGACTGATAACTCCTGGCAGCAGGAGGATCTGGCAGTGGCAGATTGACTGATGCTCCTTGTGGAGATGGGTACACTGCAATCTCTCTCTCTATTGTGGTAGAGCCGACTGTTGCAGTGGGGAGAGAGCAGAGAGACTTTTTTGTTTCGATACACGTAGTCCTGTAGAAGTTAAAGATTTTGCATCAAGGAAGAAAACAGACCGTAGGCAATCATCTAGTTGCAGATTTTCCTCGCTTTTGTAAACAGCAGTGTGCCTTTCATCAAGAAAGATCACAGCAAGGCTATGATTTCATGTCAATCTTGTGTCCTCATCTTTAAGAAAGCTTAAGGCACCCTTTCAGACTTATTTCCTTAAATTGATTGGTTGAGATTTGACACTGCCAAAAAAGCAATGCAGTCAATATATTCTACAAAAATATCACATTTTGACAAAGAAAAATGAGAAGAAAACAGCCTTCAAGCCTCGAAGTAACATTGGCACTGAACAGTGAGTCACACTTCCCTTTGGGGAGAGGGGGAGACAGAAAACCTCGCGTTGTAGCCTTCAGCCTGATTTGTGATGCAGAAAGCAAGATGAACACAATCAGTCTTGCCTCCATTTCGATTTTGTTTGCATAGCATGTTCTTAATTACAGGCTGTTTCAAGAGCTGTGTTCTGTACACAGCATAGAATAAACAGATAAACATAGCTGGGGTGGGTTGCAACTGTCGTGGAAATGGTCTACTTTTCAGCATTGAAGAACTTAAAAAAAATTTTGAAAGTATACCATGGTTGGTTAAATAATCTCTGTATTTAACTGTGTGAAGTAAAGTCCACTGCATCTTTACTTCCTTTGCATCCAGAACATTCAAATGGAAGAAATGACAGAAACTTTGCATGATAACTTGGTTCAGAGGCCACTGGGGTGCTACGTGCTTGCTCTGTAGATGGCAACACAAGCAAAATGGAGCACATGATTTCAAAAGTGCAATAGCAAGGGAAGGTGCAAGCTAAGTTACACCAAACATTCACTGGTTGCTATCATTAGAACTAAGCAAGCAATTCCCTCTGACTGTTATCTGGGCAAATGTACACTCTTTTTTCTGCCTACATACTGCCCTGGGAAGCTGTGGCTTTCTTAAATGTATAATTTGAAGTTATACCAGTGAGTAGCTGTTTGTCTAAAGTTTCTCACTGAGGTTTTCCAGTGAGCTGTCAATGCAATGCCCTTTGAAACTGGCCACAATCAATTAGTGCACGAATCCAATGGGTCTTTTTCTGTCATGACTAGCCAAGTGATCTCTGAAAATCAGGTCCCATAGTCGAATAGTCATGTTTCTGAGTATAAAACTTGCTTTCTGTAAAATTTCACCCATCCTCATTAGAATTCACAAACATGCCCACCAGAAAATGCATTCAGTGATGTCTCTGAAGTCACAGAATTGTTATGAGGACACCAAAGTAAGCGTTACTCTTCTTTGCCCCAGTGAATTTTCAGTGAATGAACAGTTAAGTTCTTTATTCAGCTCTAATACTGAAATCTTCCTTCTTTTTATGAATAAGTTAATGGCAGCAGGAGCCTGCCACCTTCAGCAAGGCCCACAGGCAGCTCACAAGAAATAGAGAAGGAAACATTGCTAGAGCTGGCAGCTGCCCATCTGCCAATATAACCTTGTCATTAGCTTATTAAAATTGTTTGAGACTGTATACCTCAGGGTTTTTAGCTTGTTGAATGAGATGCCTGAGAAGGATTTTCAGGATGAATGTTAATCTATGCTCTTTGTTTCATATGATGAAAGGGCTCATTTTCACTGATCAACATTTGACACTCCTGTGTGTTTAAGTAATCAGAAGAAAGTAAGTCTATTTTAAATCTCTTCCAAATTCTTAAAAGGAAAATTTATGCTCATGGAAAAGTTGCTTCATAGCAACATGAAGTCCCTCCAGGATAGGTAGTAACCAGGCTGAGGTTAAGGAGGAAGAGCACTGCCTTTTGACAAGACTCTCCCCAACCCAAACATCCCTTAGGCACTTAAGCAATCTTTACTCCACTGAGCAGTTATCATTTTAGTCAATGTTTGCTCGTTATTCCCATCAAAAGATAGGAACTACTGGAAGATCCACTTAGCTAATGAGTGCTAATAAGAGAGTTACTGCATGGCATTGCATCAGAGACTGGAATTTGTCAGTGACGTGCTCTAGTGACGTGCCCAGGGGATACTATAACTGAGGGTTGCTGTGCCACCAGGCAATCAAAGATGGTATCGACTCAGCTTCTCATTAAGACTTGTGCTTCAAGTGCATCTCCTTCTCTTCAAATAGGCAGCAAGTCACATCCCACACACTCAATTTTCTTCTACCTTACTACCAAGCACAGATAAATGTAATTGCATCTGGCCTCATAAATCCTTCTATTAAAATGTAGCCTGAGGTTAGAGGAGAGGTCTAGAAGGCATATTTGGCTCAGTTAGAGAAAGTAAACACTGTGTTACAAGATACATGTCACACAAGAGGGTAGTGTGGTAAAACTGCCTCCTGTACATTTGGAAGGAAACAGCGACTCGCAGGACAGAAATGATGCTGAAAAGGTCATTTCTCCTAGAGGAGCTACAAGCTAAGCCCCCAGCTCGCCGTGTGACATGCTAGAGAAAAGACGCATCAAATGCCAGCTGCTGTCTGCTCTGCATCAGGTAAACGCCGTGGGCTCAGGCATTACAAGGGTGATGCAGTTGTCTGGAAGTCAGATCACAGCAAGGGGAAAACATTCTGCCAAGCTTTCCTCTTCCCTCACGGCCGAGCGTGTGGGAAGGAGAGTCCCCACCGTGTCCCTAAGGCAAGTCATGGGAGTTCTGTGAGACACAAAGCTGACTGCCGCGGTGCTACGCTGGTGCCACGTTGCAGTGCAAGGGAGGAGGCTTTCCTGTGGATGCATGGGACACGTCCCTCAGACACAGCAGGGCACCAGGATGTCCCCTCCTCTGAAAGCTCCTTCAGGACCTCAGCTGTCCCCCATAGAGTTGGGGCTTGAGTTCCCAGGGTTCCGGAGAATCAAGGTTGCATTTCGTGCTACCTCCAAAGGGTTGTAGGCTTTCCCTTTTCAAAAGCAGCCTTAGTCTGAACCTCATTCCTGAAGCATTTGCCAACTTCTTTCTCTTCCTGACTTCCCTGACGAGGTGGAGACAGGGCCTCTGGCACAGCCACCTCCACAGGGCTCTGTGGCCACCCAGCGAGCGCTGCCAGGTGAGTGTGACCCAGGCAGACCCACTGCCCTGCGCGGCCGGTAACCTGGCATGATGCTCTGTGGGGCTTTCGCATGGTCTCTGCTGAAAAGTACCCAGCCAGGATTTAAGAAACACAGCCTAGGCATCCTGGTTTGTTTTGCTATTTTGAGCATCACGACTAGCAGCTGGGTCCGCAGATGTGCACCTAATAATCACAGCTGCATTCAGGTGGTATCCTAAAACAGACCTCACATAAGCAAAATCTTCCCTTATTTTACATACATTTTGGCTAGCAGTTTTAAGAACATTAATCTTAGGTTTAACTTCTTCTCCACTGCTTCTTTGGACTCATTAAACTGAACATCTCACAAAACATTTTCCTGATCTGTTATTTTGATTTCCAGAAATAACCATTTCTGAACTACACACCTCCCTATGTTCAGGCCTTGAGCTGGCTACCAGGGCCAGAGGTTGTGGTACAAGTTTCCCAGGCAAAGTCTGGATGTGACTTCCCCACACAGCTGGAATAGAAACTGTCTGAGCAGACCTCACAGCAGCAATGGACCAGAATGGATTGAGCCCTGCAAGATCAGCCACTTTTCCATAGGTACTCACGTTGTAAACGCGGGGTTGTATTTTGCACCAAGGTAGTAAGAGTAAAGGTTGAACATTCCAATCATAAAGGCCAGGAACACCATGATGAAGATGACCATGAACTTGAAGATATCCTTCACAGTCCTCCCCAAAGAGATCTGCAGGGGGCCGAAGCTTTCGTTGGCTGGAAGAATGTAAGCAATGCGGGAGAAGCTGAGTACCACAGCTATTGCATACAGTCCTTCTGAAATGATCTGAGGATCCGAGGGAAGCCACTTGTTCCTGGCTAAAACAATACATGTACACTAGGTATTAGTAACAAAAAGTGTTAGATGGAAGTTATGATGACAAATTACCCCTTTTCAAGACTGAATCTTAGTTTTAGCCAGGAGTTAAAGGAAAAAAAAAAAAGGTTTTGAACAACTGGTCACTGAAGTCCTCAGCATGCTGTACAAATATGGGTGAGAAGTATTAGTTGTATTTTTCACATGGTGAAGATGAGAAATGAGCAAGTCACTGGGATTTACCAAAGTCACACAGCAAATAAATAGCATGGCTTTAAACAAATTTGACATTTTCTCTTTCCTAGTTGAACATCAACTGTGCTGTGCCTTTTCCATCTGAAGCCCTTGAGATGGAGAACCAAAACCACAACGCAGTGGAGTTTGGCTATAGATTTGGATACATGGCACTGTGTCAATATTTGGAAAGGAAGCATGAGAGAGACTGAGATCTCTACCCCTACCGTTAGGTAAGAAAGTTAAGATTTGTTCAGATAAAGCAGGTATAACCATCAAGGGTATCATTTTCATGTTATCTTTAAATTAAAACCAATTCTTGCAGTCTAGTCACTCTAATATTTTTACTTTAAAAAGCTTCTTGTTGATACCAGATATGCATCATTTATTTAATCTACTGAAATTTTGAACATTTATATTGATATAGCTTATAAATGTCCTTGCATCAACTGAGCTCCTTGATGAAAAGATTGTGACTCAGAGCTAAAACATGTGACATCTTTAAGGACACAGCAGTAAACTTAGGCATTCTTTTCAGTAATCTGAACCAAAGGAAAAGCAGCAGATGGAGGAATTCGCAGGATCTGGTTGTGACATTCTGTTCTCTACCCTTTGTACCTTTGTATCATGAACTCGCTTTAGATGGGTCAGCAGCAAACCAGAGAGAGGAAAACCACCAGACCATCTCAGTGGCCTCTTGCTTGCTGGGGCAGGGAGAAGGAAGCTTACCTTCAGAGGGGACACACCAAGCGAGAGGCTGAGCCAGTGTGACCAGCTCATGGACCCAGCAGCGAGCCTGTGACTGGGCACCCTGGCATGGGGTCAGGGCGCGTGTCTCCGGTGCCACATGGTGCACATCTACAGTGGATGAAGTCTGCTGCCCCAGATCTTCCTCTCCAGCCCAAGCACATCGCTAGAATAACTACCTTACAACCCTAGGGAGCAAATGGTGCTCCTTTGTGTCCAGCTCTCTAGCTCCTGCATCCCCTTTGTGAGCAAAAATCCCCACGGATTTTGCTCAGGCTTACATCTAAAGCTTGCAGATGCATGCAATGAATCCAGTCCACACACTGGGGTGCAAAGCTCTATTCATTTGTGACTATCAAAGAAAAAACATTTCAGCCATCAAAAATAACATTGTCAAGGCTATGCAACTGCTTGCATTTCCAAATGTTAACACTTATAGATTATATAGGCTCTCCAAAATGAAGGTTTTCCTCTTGGAGGAGCAGCAGCTTATGGATACAATTTGTATTTGTATTTCCATTATAGAGATGTTGGATGTAACAGAGGGGCAGAGCACACCAGCAGTTAGAAATACAGCTCCAGATCCTATGTGTGTTCACACATATGCCCCCTCTCACATTTGGAAAACCAAGCAGGTTCATTCATCTGTAATTTAAATTATATTCTGCTCACACCCATTTCCTGATTATTTGTTGCTCAAGCTATTTTTTCAAGATGTGATTGACCTAAATGTAGCCTTAGCACAAGATCAGAGACTGAATGAGGCTCAGATCTCAATTCCTTTTGGACTGTTAAGGAAGGTGGCTGGAACGGGTAGATCTGAGAAGAATAATTTGGTTTAATTAGAAAAAAACTACATAAATATCACAAAAAGAAAGCTGCTTTCAGCACTGCCACACATTAGCCTAAAAGAACAGGAAGCATTAGATAGCAAAGAGCATCTTACCATAAGTAAAGTAAGCAACTTCAGGGGGAAGGGTGACGTTGTTGAGGTCATCATCTTGAACGTACTGGTCTACGTACTGTTGTGCTTCAGTCGCTTTGAGAAAAGCCATGAACCTGGCAGTGAAAGATGCCACGAAGATGGACAGCATCCCAAAGTCCAGCAGGTTCCAGAGATGCACCACATATTCGCGTGGACCCTCTTCCCAGATCTCCTTGCACTCTGACCATATCATGCCTGCGGAAAGGTCAGAGCATGTTTAACCGGCAAACACAGAAGGCGCTTTTTGTATACAGACCTGTTTCCTGGCTAACAGTAGCTTCTAAGATCGAAACAAATAACTTCTTAATTAAGCTGAATTTCCTGAGAATGGTCCGTGTCATCTTTTTTTGAAAAACATTGAGAACTTCGAGCTTATATGTCCTTTTGTGCATATGAGCTAGAAATTCCAAAATTTCGCTTTATGAGTCAATGGTGAAGTAGATTTCTGGTGATGTCAGAGAAAGCACAGTTCAGAAATACTGAAGATATTAGAAAATCCTACTGTTGATCTATTTGAAAAAAATGTAGATTTCCTCTCTTGTCCCCAAAATCTCCTTGCTAAACTGTGCCACTGCAGATGGTATCCCTTGTTCTGCTGATGTTTTCCTCCTTCACGAAAACAGGGGATGGGTCCACTTTGAGAACAGAAACAGATCTTTGCGAGAGAAAATCTGATCCAGGAGTAAATACAGTATGATCAGAGAAAAGGTAAGACAGAAGTTCTGTTCTTGCAGTACTTTTCATAAAGTTTTATATATAAAGCAATAATGAATTTTCAGACATTAAAGTCTGATCTACCACTTTGAAAACCCTGAATTTAGCCTGAGTTTAGGATCCTTCTGACAACAGACTTACAGATAAAACTAAATGCCAAACCCAGAAAAGTCAAACATTTTGACATCCATGTTCTACTGGGGAGTGCTGGGGAGGACAGGTGAGTTCAATGGGCAAACTGGAGCCAAGAGCTCAAGTCAAATTCACCAGCTTGCCCAAATTTCAATCACAGCAGGGCTCCAGGCCTAAAATCTTGCTTCTAAATAGCTAAAATATTAGAATATTTAACCCAATGATAAGTATTTCCTGCACTCTACCCAATCCTGTTTCCATAGCAGCAGAAAAATTCACGTTTAATCAAGCAGGAGCAGTGCCTGCCAATTTCCATGTGGCCTCCTGCAACCTTGTCCTTTTTGTGAACTCTTCTTCATCCTCTTTGCTTGAAGCTCTCGTGGTGTGGCATGTCAATGCATTTGCTCAGCTACTTCAGAGACTCCTGGAAGCACATGGTGTCCCAAGAGGCACAGTCGATAGCTGGGTTATATGGGAGGAAACAAGTCACTGTGAATCTAGCTGGAGGCTGGAGGAATGAAAAACTGTCAGTCCTTGCGCACAGGGATGGATCTGAGAAAAAAAGGAAAGCTAAGCTATCGATACCACTGGTGGCCAGGGCACAGCTAGCCTGTGGCCTCCATAGACCTGGAATCTCTAGGCAGGTCCTTGGAGCTGTACCCGGATACAGGTTATGCCCCATATAGATCTGCCTTGGGAGAGAGCCTGAGGTCTGCTGGGGGAGAAGAGCCAGAGGAGGGCAGGAGAGGAGCCTCCCAGCTCTTCTTCTCAAATCTGCAGGTGCTTGGCTGCGTCGAAGCAGGAACTTCATCCCAAGCCATCATTCACCATGAGTAAGATTTAATAATAAATAGGCTAAGGGAGAAGGTGGAAGAATTGGTTTCTCAGGAACTGTCCCAGAGCAACGATGAAATATTAAAGAAACATTTCTAGCTAAAAAAAAAAAAAAGGTATCCCAGAAGTGACAGATAGGAGACATTAGCCCTACGCATTACGCAGGCGTGTCGTATAAAGGTACGAAAGCACTTCAGGAAATATCACATGCATGGTAACATTGCCAGCCAGAGTACTTGTTCACTGACACCCAGAAATGTCTTTTCTGGTTTAAATATTAACTCTCCTATCCAAATTTATTTCTAATCTTAGTCACTTAATATACCTAAGTTGCAGATTAATGAAGTAAGGAAAGTCTAAAACTGAGTAGACTGACTAAAATTAGAATCATTCTGTGAAAGTATCACACTATTGGCCTGTAATTTACATCATTCTTTTTGCCAATGGTGTGGCAATCATTTTTTATCCATACATATGGAAAAATGTCTATTCAGGACAAGTAGAAAAGTTACAGTAATTATTCGGTCAGTACTGCTGGGTAATAGTATATACATTGTGAGGGAGTAATTTAAAGCTTCTCCTTAAGCAAAAATACTGAGAAGACAAAAAGCAGCTAAAATGCAGGGGATGGGATGTAAGGACAGAAATCAGGGAAGGCAACTAGGCAAAGCAGATTTGCCAGGATGTGATTGCATTTCAATATGGTGTTTCTGAGGCCCCCAATGGCTCCAGGAGAGGTTGTTTCCCTGAGTTTGATGCACAGAGAGGTGGAATTTCAGCAGCTTCTGCAGGTCTCTTGTGCCGCTTCTCCCGCAGCAGGGATAATCACAAATGTCACCTTGACGGGCATTTCTGGTTTCAGCAGGGGAAGGAGAGTCAAGCTACAGGCACAGCCCATCTGGAAGAAAAATGTAAGTGTGCAGGAAGTGCTGTTCACCACCTGTGCACAAAAAGGAACAGTTTGTCAGATTTTTATATCCACTGGCCTGGTACATAAATGACAAGCAGCTGATGTTGGAGAGCCACCTTTGAGCCTTCCTGGATCCGCCAAAGGCTGCTGGATTAAGAGAGAGAGTTGTGCTCAGGTTGTGTCTATCCAGAGCTTAACTGCTACCTTGGCTGCTTTTGGAGTGGGGATTTTGTCTCTCTAAATGAAACCTCCCTGCTTCCAGTGCACGCTTTTGTCCACATTGCTCACGAGGAAAATCCCAGCCTTCCTCACTTGAAGGCAAGAGGTGGGAAGACCCAGTTGTGGGGGAGAGGTAGCCAAGGCATACGATGAGCCACAGATGCATGAGCTGAAATTGCCATGCCTTGTGGTATTTCTCTGTGCTGACCAGTTTATCATCTACAGCCCTCGGATGCTCATTCATAACAAAGAAGAGTGAGACCAAAAAGGTGTTCTCCCACCTAAAATGCTATTGTTTATCTGGCCGTTCACAGGGATGTTAAATGGGCTACCAACACTACCTGGCCGATCCAGCAATGGTCTACAGCCATTTTGGAGGTGAAGGCTAAGGGAAAGTAAAGCCTCTGATATGGATTTTTGGAGCAGGATGAAGTGCTTGCCTGGCTGAAAGTCATTGCCTCTGCTCGGTTTACTCCATTACTCACCTGCATAACAAATAGTTGGGAGAAGGAGAAGGCAATGGTATCTTTTTGCATAACTCCGGTCTGAAATTCTCTCCTGCTGGTAGTTTTCTCTTAAAATATATACACGTGGGTCAATTTTCATATCTCTAGCAAGATTAATTGCAGAGAGTGCTATTACAGGTTGTGCTCACTCATGGCCACACTATGCTATGCTAATGTAGCACACTATCCTTGAATAATGCTATTCTGAACATGCGTCATAATTTGATGGTTGACAGCCAGATAACTCAGACAGCCAATTTTCTTCCCAAAAAAGAACCAAGATCAGGGACCTTTAAACTAATTTCTCAAAGATGGCCTGCTACGGTTGGAACAAGTAATGTGTCATCAGCATTCATCGTTGCTGCCACAGTATGAAGGAGAAAAGAGAAAGAATGGAAACAGAAGGAAGGGATATACAAGCTGAGAATAAATAAAATTACACTTTTTGATTGTACTATGAATCGAAATGTAGGTAGCACACCTACACTGTAGAGTCTGAAGACAGAAACTGCAGGCGTTGCCAAGTAGGATTAAATATAGCTATGTATATTTAGTACACAAGAGTTAGATTTGTTATACTTCAGCATACACTTACTGTCTACTTACATTTGCCTCTTTGGAAAAGCCTGTCTTGGCAACTTTACCTGTGATATTTATCTATAGAATTTACTTTTATTTTTCTATTTCTACTTATATTTGTAATACCTGTAAGATTTTTGTGCCAGAAGTCTGGGCAGTCTGCCATCCTTAGTGCCTTTACAGTCCTTGAAGTTTAGGGTCACTTATGGGGCTCAAGAAGTGCCCAAGCCCCCGTGCCAGCTGTCTGCAGGCCACGTGCACCAAACGTTCACCTTAGTATTGCTGAAACATTATTTGAAGCTTTATGTAGGCAGACAGGTAAAATGGCCAGACAAGACTGTCAGTGCTGATGTAGGCAGTCATTAGAAAATCTCATTATATTCAGAAGTCTGTACAATGAATCACCTTTCTTCTCCCAGAAAAGTGAAAAACTTCACTTTAAATGAAATGTTTGCTGCTTCATCTCACAGGAACTCACCAGGCAGGCAGATACCTACTGCCTATAAGAAAAGAATACCTAGTCTAAAATCTAATCATCTTGTTCACCTGCTTTAATACCATTTTAAAAATATATCTTACAGACTTACTCTATCCAGTCTGGCATCTATTCAGTATTTTCTAGTCTAATATCCTGTACAGGATTTGGATTATTGCGGGGACAGGGAACAAAGAAATGGTGGCCAGGAAGTCATCAGATAGAACAGTCCTATCCTATTTTTCAGGGGGGTTTAATGCTGTCAGTACTTACAGAACAGTGGAATTATTTGCTGCAAGAAAAGAATCAAAATCATGGTGGTGAGTAAAAATAGATACAGAAGAGGTAGACAAAAATTCTGCAGAGTTGGTAAGCTCAGTTTCCCAATAAATCCTTCTGAGCTTGTTTAGATCAGTGGTTCAAGGTAGCTGACCTGCCAGGAATAAATTATGCCTACAGGAAAAGTACTACATCTGAATTTGCCTAAAACTCCCTGGAAGTTTAACTTCTGCATGTGACATACTTTTGCACCTGAAGGGTTCATCCACATGAATCCCTACTTTATAGTTGTTGGATAACTTAATTTCTTTTAAAAGATTTGAGCACTGTGCTGTTCTCTCACCAGTAACAATTTCATACTATGAATATCATCATATAGCATAGAAACCTTTATTTACCTAGCAGTTTTCATCACTAGATCTCAGAATGCATTACAAAAAATTAAATAAAAATATACCCATTTTGCAGATTAAGAAACTGAGGTTCAGTGAATTACAATAGGATCTCATGGTAGGGTAATAAAACAGGCTGCTGGTCACCCACATCCCAATGGACACAATTCTTTCTGCTCACTTTAGATAGAGTGATGTCCTCTAGTGAAGCTATAAGTTTCTATGACTATATTACCTTTTTTAAGAAGCTATGATTAAGCCAACAGAGGCAAACAGACAACATCTATAGCATTCACCATGGAAAGTGGAGAATCAGGAAAGTGAGAATTTGCCAAGCATCATTCAATATTTTCAAAAGCAGTGACCAAGATCAAAGTCGTCTTTGATCCTGTTTTAATCAAAATACTTCCATCAACCTCTAATTTAGAGTCATGGTGGATCTTTTTGTTTTCAAGTTGGTTTTTTTGTTTCATTGGTTGGTTCAGGGTTTTTTTCCTTTGTCTTGTCACTGTCTATCATGCTATTCCTAGTCACGTTGAACTTCCCTGGAGGACTTGTAGACATTTTGATTTTGCTTACCCAATACCCACTTCATGATCAGCAATTCTGTCCATGAGAACTGAGTTGTTTTGACTCTAAATATTTGTTTTGGATGATCCGTGATGGTCTCGTTGGGGAGATTTTTTACTCCTTCAAACCGATCTGAAGCATTCACTACTAACAGTCCAAGGAAGATCGTGAAAGAAACTGCGTGTGCCACAAACTTCATGAAAGGACTGCGGAGGGTACGTCCCAACTGCAATGAAACATACACAAGACATAAATTTTTTTTTTCCCCTCATCCACCTCCTGGAAGTTTTTTTCCTATAGAAGTTTGAACCATTTGCCCAAGGTGAAAAGGATTCAGAAATGAATTCTAGATCATGAATTAAACAGGGTTTAGATTTGTTCAAGTTGTTCTTTGCTATTACCAGGCATTATGCATTGCAGTTCAAATTATGTCCTTTGGATAATTTTCTATGCATGGCGGTATCTTATATTGCTCCTTTATGCCCACATATAGTATCTAATTATCCTGGCCGTATGGTAAGCGGAAAATGGAGAGACAGGACATTTATATGAGACATGTTTGTGTGTATACATGTTATATGAATTTACTCATGTGTATCAATATAAATCCTAATGATGGGCCCACTTGTCATCCTTACATCATTGTTCTGTATTAGAATCTTTTATTAATGCTGAATTCTTGGTTCATTAATGATGTGTAGGAAATAGCCTTCTGTTTAAAGATTCTTTAGTAATGCTTTTAATATGCTTTGGTATGACAGTCTTTTCTCAGAATTACTACAAAAGCTGGAGATTCATTCCCCAGAACATAAGGATTTATTTCAAGACATTAAGCCAAGAATTGGAGCAGCAGATCTCTTCGTTATAGCTAAAATTTGTTCCATTCTTCAAAAAGCTTTGTTTGTTAATCAGTTTAAACAACACACTTTTCATTTTACATTTTCTGTCATCTAGGAAAACATTACTCCAGAAATATGTCAGAGTAGAAACATTTTTAGGAGTGCAAGGAGCAATGCCTGTAGCGTTGGATACAATAGGCAGCAATGCAAGTGCCATCCTGTATGTGTCCTTTCCAAACCACCCCCCCAAAGCAAATGGGATTTTTTTGAGTATATTACTCATTGATTCATTTCCCCTGATGACAAGGTATTGTCAAAATTTTCTTAATATCTACTGACTTGATCACAAAAGTTCATAGGAAATACAAAAAAGGACTGAAAAAGGAAATTCCTTGTTTTCTTATCTCCAATAACAGCTTTATTCAAAGGAGCCCAGGTCTCTGGTCATTGCAGAGCAGGAAATATTTTAAAAGCAGGACTCTTTAGGTCTAGCAGAAATTTAAAGGAAGCCTTATGATTCTGGTTCTTATTTCTTTTTCTTCATTGAATTTTTAAAATGTCAAATAAGTCTTTTATGAAGTTGACAGAATAGTAAAACCTATTGGATAATTTACATGTTTCTAAATATCAGAAATACTTTCTGACAAAGAAAATGAAAAAAAATCTGCTCTATCCCTGAGCCCTTATTAACATGCTTGCTTCTTTCTGAGGTCAATAAGGATGTGTTTAAGCGGGTAGATATCACACTGAATCAAACCCCAGTTTTCCTTAATCTTGTCTAGGAATATTATGGCAGAGGTAGGAGTAAAAGAAGTGTGTTAAAACCAATCCCAACACTTCTGATGCCGGTTCACTCCTTTGCTGTAAACCTTGGTGTAGTGTTAGTTCTCAACAGCTTTTTATGGCTGGTGTTGGGTAGATTTCCATTTTGTAGCAGAATTTATATTTCCAGTACAGAGCTGATGGATTGGTGGGATACGTTTGAACAATGCCCCATACAGTAATAATACCAGATGTTTTCCTCCTATTACCCTTCTGAGAGCGCTCAAAGAGCAAGAACAAAGTATGAAAACAACTATGGACATATGGGGTCTTACCAACAAAGTTTTAAGAAAGTGCATTTGCAGTCTGTGCAAGACTCATTTCTACCCTGAATTCACTAAAAGAGAAAAAGCACTTCTTACTGAATTATGAATTCTCTCCAAATAATTAGACTTTTTCTTCTGTCTATAGAAACTTAAAAAAAAAAGGGACCTGAGATTAAAGTAGCACAGCCTTGGTTATCAGAGAAATAATCCCATGTATTACAGAACTAAATTAATTCTGTGGGTAATTTCACTTAGTTCTCTTCTGATTTAACAAAAGTCTGCATTTATTCAGTGTTACATCAGCATTTTATCCCCTTTATTACTGTGGAAAGCTTACAGGTTGTTTTTCTTGAGCTGATGCTTTTCAAATCTCCTCAGAAATCTGATTTTTAGCTAAGAGCTACAGGAGGTGAAAGTGTTGACTAGAATATTCTGTAAAAAATTAATGAAGCGTCAATTCTTTCAGTCAGCCTAGTTCATTATGACAATAAGATATATTTTTCAAGCAACATGATACAGTTAAACTCAAGGTGTGTAACTACTTGGATGTATCAATTTCTCAATTACTTTTTAAAAATCAAAATATCATCTTTCATCAAGTCAGGATTGCAGGGAAGTGCCTGGCTGTCACTGTTAAGACAGAAACACTGACAGTGTGTGAATATAAACGTTCATTCTTAAGAGAATAGCTCATTTTGTGACTTTGTATCCTATCCGTATTATAGGAAAATAATGAAGCATGCAGATATTTCAAAAAGAAAATACATAAAATGTGACAGTGAAAGAAAATTTTCCAAATGCAAATTAATGTCTAATCCAAGAGACAGGAACAAACAAAGATAGAAATATCATAAAGAAAAAAGGCATTACTATTTTCAGTACTATGATCATAGCAGAAGCATAAAGAAAACTGTAGAAATTTTATGTAGCTTAACTAGGGAGGAAAATACCCAGAGTAAAAAGGTACAGGTACAGCTTTAGGTGGAGTGATCCATTAAAGTTCCAGTGCTTTAGGTGGAGTGATCCATTAAAGCTGAGTGCTTAAATGATGCCGGGTTTTTCCCAGTGGGATCTATGGTCCATAAATCCCCAGCATGGCTACATGAAAGCCAGAGAACAATGCAGGCAACGAGAGCTGTGTATAAATGATCTCTGTTAGTGCTGTAATACTTGAATGTGCACTCCAACTGACCAGAGATGAAAGAAAATACTTGGAGTTCTGCAGACAATCCAAACAGTCCTGCTTGCCCTTGTCATTATCTTTTTGGGCAGCAGACTGTGCAATTTTTTTTATTCTATCTCTTATCTTCTCTTTTGATCACCAGTGAAACAAGTTTTGGACACCAACATATGAAGCAACAGTTCATTTCAGAGTTACGGCCTCCATGAGATGGATGAGCCAACACAGACAGTTCAGGATAGGGTAGGCTTACTCTCCATGGGTCTTGTCAACAGTTTGTGCATCCAGAGGTGAATGAACAACTGACACTACAATTGTTTTTAATAAAGACAGCTCTGTGCAACTGAATACAAAAGAAGACTTAAGCGTTTAGTTGCAAACTTCAGTTAATACTACTTACTAAATTTTCAAGGGTAGTATTCTAACTCCACAGAGCTTTATTAAAGAAAATTTTCTGTCAGGGAGTGAAGCTTGAAAACTTATTCCTTGTTAAGATACATCAGTGAAGGAATTATTTTGAGATAAGAATTACTCTATTACCCTATAGAATCATAGAATCGTTTAGGTTGGAAAAGACCTTTAAGATCATCAAATCCAACCATTAACCTAATACTACCAAGTCTACCACTAAACCAATTAAGGGTAGACTTATAATTAATGTCATGTTTACTGGCTTGGTGGCTGAATTATTTTTTAATGAAAGCAAAACTAGAATAGAATCATTAAGGTTGGAAAGGATGTCTAACGTCATCAGTCCAACTGTCAACCCAAAACCACCATGCCCACTAAACCGTGTCCCAAAGTGCCACGTCTACACATTTTTTTAACATCTCCAGGGATGGGGACTCCACCACCTCTCTGGGCAGCCTGTTCCAATGCTTGATCACTCTTTCAGTAAAGAAATTTTTCCTAATATCCAATCTAAACCTCCCCTGATGCAACTTGAGGCCATTTCCTCTCATTCTATGTGAAACTGCAGAATTTGACCAATACTTCTCAAGAATGTGATACACAATAGATTTGGTCAGGACAGCTCCTCTAAGTAGTATTCCACATTACAGAAATTGCCTTCATTTTTCTCACTGTCTTAGCCCAGAAATGAGTCCCTGACTCATGCCTGGGCATCCATGTGTCTTTTAAGTCAGGCCTGATTTGATATAAGTTAATATCTTAGCTGATTGTTACTAGGGAAAAATAATTTCATTATCCAGTTGTGTAACATCAAGATTGTTTCCATGACTTAAACCCAAACAAAACACTTGTAAAATTAACCAGGGCAGAATCGTGCTGCTCAGATCATCACATGCAAATCTTCTGTTAACATCACCGTCCTTTTAGAGGATATGCTGCCTATGTAAAATTGTCTGCGATAACACAATGAGACAATACAAGGCTCATGCATCAACCTTCAACCCTTGAACCTACTAATGACTACTTTGGGTGAGGTACCAATTCGTGGGGGAAAATGCATTCATTATTCAGTTATTTCTATCACAGGCCCCAATCAAAAATCAAGACTACATTGTTCTGATCAATGCAAAGCCATGCATTAAAAGACAGTTCCTGCCTGAAAGAACTTTCAATTTGACTTTATGACAGAAGGTTCCATATGGTTTTTCACAGTCTAAAGTGGGGTGAAAAGAAAGGGACAATGAAAAATGAGAATGCACAAAAAATGCACAAAAAAAAAGTTCCAAAATCATACTCAATGAAAAGTTAAATCCCCTTCCCTCCATTTTTTATAAATTTTAATACACCTAGCTCAAGAAATGAAAACCAAATAACTTTCTCAATCATTTTTATTTCTGCTGTAAAACTGATTTATTTTCAATTTTTTGCCTCAGTTTTTTCCCTTTAGTTTTCATGCTTTTCATTTAAATTCTTCACTTATTTCTAGTCTAATTGTTCTCCCCACCTATTGCTATATTCAAATGCAACCTCTGTAATTCTGAGAATACACCACAAATGTTGCTCTTGGCTGCTGTGCCAATGTACTCCCAGTACATTCAACAGAGGTGAAGGAAATTAAACAGCTTCATAAATCCCTGCTAGACTGAGGTCTGACATAACGGAATCAACGTGTTAATTCCACACATGAAGTCCCTGTACGACCTAACCAAAACCACCCACAACACAGCCCACCTTCCCGCCTTTCACATGCACTTCTCTTGTGAAACTCTGGAGTCATGTCCAGTATTAATAAAAGCTGTGGGGTTTTGTGTTGATATAAACCTTGAGAAAATGAAGTTACGTTCTCAATTACTCCAAGAGAAAGTACTTTTCTTGGAAATATTTTGGAGGACACCAAACCTTAAACATGTTTTATTATCTCAGATGTTCTGGAAGACTATTTTCAAAAGGTTTGCCTGACTGGACCAACATAAATATTTTCAAATTATAGTCTTTCCTTAATACCTATCCATGGATCTCTAATTTCTTGGGCTTGACAAAATTAGAAAGGATTCCTCACTGGCTTTTAAAGGAAATGGGAGAAGATACTTTCAAGACTGAATAAATTACCAGTGCCAGGGGTCATTTTGTCAAATTTAAGTACCTCTGATAACCCTCCTGCTGAAGACCTCTACCTTGTAATGGATGATGTTGCTGGCTGTTGCTGAATGTGAAATGATCTTCTTCCCTGCCACCCCTTTCTTCTGTGGCAAGAGTAGTGAAAAAGCTATTTATCACTCAGCAACACACTTATTTATCTCCACTTGCTTGAGCAGACTCTTTCAGAACGGAAACCTCACTACAGATTTCATACCACAGACAACTCAAGCTTTTACCTAAGCTAATGGTTGGCTCCGGTCCTTTGATCGCTAGGTCTCTGCAAAACTCTCCTGCTCCATCTGATACTGTGAGACATAGCACAGCCATATTGAGGTACGCTGCAGTTTTCCAAGTTTCACCTTTTCCCTCAAAACCATAAAGACTGCATGATTAAGTCTAGTCTTCTCTGCAGCACTAAGCAGTCCCCTGAGGCTTGCCAGAGTTTCAGACACATGTGCCATAATAACGCTCCACTAACTAAAAATACAAGATCAGAAAGAAGGAAGGGGAATAGAAGAGCCCTGAAGAAGGGAGGAACCTGCAACAAAAAGTACATAAAAGGAACAAGAGTTTAAACATCAGAGTTAACTAAAGAGCAACAAAGATCTTCTCCTTTAGTTATTCCCCATTTTGGTTGTTCTTCTCTTCTTTCTTCACCCCATTCCCATGTTATCTCCTATCCATTTCTTGTTCCTATTATTTTCTTGTCATTTGCTGTCTCAATATTTCCTCCCCCCATCACCCCACCTTTATTACCTGTAAAAATGAATCTCAAACCATGCCTAATAGCTCCATTTGTGTATATCAAGCAACACCTCATGCTTGCTCTCTTCTGGGGCAATCTTAAAGGATAACAAGAATCGCTTCCCAATGGTGTTAGAGAAAAAACATGTGACTTCATTCCAGGCCCTGGAGAGAAATGACCATAAAAAACATGCACCTTAATGAGTTTGTACCTTGCTGCAGGGAGCAATCCAGTAGGCTATGGCGAGGAAGGGCAGGCCAATGGAGACCCCGAAGACAGCCAAGAACTTCACAGCTATAGATTGCTGCCGTAAGCCTGAGAGGTTTTCATACCACATGGTGAGCAATTGTTGCTGGCAGTTGGGGTGAGCAACAAACTGCAAGAGAAACAGAAATAGAAGTATCAGCAACATTGTCTGAAGAGGATGAGACTTCAGCGAATAACCAGCTGAACTTGCCAGTGGAATAAGACAGGGCACATCTTTGTTGTCCAACATAGCTTATGTTCACAAACAGAAAACTGCAAACCAGGTACCCAAAATCCCCAGGTACTGGCAGAACATGTTTCATTTCTGCTTCTTCTCTTCTCTAGATAAAAGATTTGTTAGACAGCAGATGGTCTAGGCCAAAACCCAACATTCATCAGGGGCCAGCACTGACAAAGCACCTCTGTGGTGTCAGCATTTACATCTGAGACAGTCTACATCAAGATTCAGAAAAGACCCAGCGAGGCACTTCGATGTCGAGCTGGAAAAAACCTCTAATAACTTGCTAAAGACACAGGCCTTTGAAACAGTAGCTCAACACAGCACTAATATTACATTGCTCTATTCACTGCCTGTGGACCCAAAGTGAACGTTCTGCACTGTTCTCCTTCTCCTGTAGACTGTAAGAGGTCTGGTTGGTATTTTGCTACTTTAAACACTTTATCTGAGATTACTTTTCAAAAAATGGCAGCTCATTCTTTTCTGATCAGGCAAAAAGACAAATTTAAAAGCAGAAGGAAAGCTGTGCTGTTCTGGTACAGAAAGTACATGCTTTGTATCCTGTAACTGAGACTCTTCTTCAGTTTATTGTTCAGAGGAAAAAGAAAAAGCAAGCAGCAGACAACTGAAAAGGGCAATTTCTTAATGGTAAAATTACAGCACCACTGGATCCCACGGAAGAGTTTTATAATAAAAGAGTAAACTTCTTTATTTCATATTGTTCTTCAGGGTGATTGAATTTAGCATGTGACTATCTCTAATCACAAAGAAAGATAATTAAAAGGCAAAATAACTGAAAGAAAAGATGAAAAATAAATATGTTGCTAATGTAGTTGATTGCACGAGCAGAACTGAGTGTTTCATTTGTGAGTTTTGTGGGTGAATAAATGTTCTTAGGAGGGAGATGTAAAACCTTCCACTATTTCAAAAAGCAGAACTTTCTGGAGGTGAGGGGGAGGATGAAGAGGGTAGAGAGAGAAAGAGCAGAGGGAAGATGAGGCTACCAGGGGGCTTCGTGGTCGCTGTTGCCCCTGCCTGGCAGGGTGGACATGGACCGTGTCTGGCAGCTGCCCCGTTGCCCTGCTTCAGCCCTTTCAACTGCAGCTGCCTGGGATTTCAGCTGTAGTCTGTAGTTTTATTTGGACTGAAAAGTAGAGAAAATCCTAACTGTGCTTTCATCTTCACTATCTACAAAATGGTGATCAAATCAGGAATTTAATGGACTGTTTTCTAGGTGTTTGCATAATAACAAAACCGTTACTGTGAGTTTAAATGATCGGTTTATTGCTAGTGCAGAATGAAATACAGTTGCACAGTAATTAGGATTGCTGCGGAATAGCGCATTTCTTTCTTTAACAGCACATTACCAAGTATTTAAAATGTGCTTCTTCAGATGAATTAGGCTTTGGGGCCTGAATTTCTCAAAAAGAAAAAAAAATAGAAAATAAGGCTTTACCCCTTCCACTGAGTAAATCAGAGTGAAGAAATTTGATAGGTACTTTTAACCTCTTTTGTCTTTAGATTTTTTTCCTGGAAATATTAACATTTTAATATGCTTTCTTTTAAGCTGCTTTCGAAAAAGAAAGCTTTCAAAAAAGATAATCGGTAAGTCATCAGTCCTAGTTGTTCTGAGCATTTGAAGTTTAAGGTTAAGGTGATGACAGCAGTATTGCAAGGAGGCATTTCCTAATGCTCAGTGTTTATGTTTGTGCTGACGTTGCTACGGCTTTTTATCGTTCTGGCAAATGGACAGAAAGATGAAGTGGAAGGAAGCTAGACAGAGAATTGACTCCCTTAGTAAAACTTATTTTCAGATATGATGAATTCAATAGCAATTGTAGCAACTCTTGGAAAGGAAAATTACACTGGTGGATGTGCAGACTTCTGAGATGAAGGGCCAAAGCAACAGCCAGGCTTCCTCCTGCTCTTGTAATTGTTCACCGCATTATGAGAATCGATTCAAACGAAGAAATGCAGTTGTCATTGGCAATGAGACAGTCAAAGATTTTTGCTGGTTGGCATTTCAGAGAATTCATCAGAGATTTTAATCTGTTCATTGCTTCACTCTGTCTGGGAACAGCTACAATAAAAATACAAATACAGGAAAATCGAGATGGAATTGCCATAAAACCCGGTTCATTGGAACAATTTATTTTGTACAACGCAATAAAGATTGGCAACATGCCAGAAAGCCTTGATGGTGTTCATCTTACTCTGATTATTACCAAAATGAGGGAAAAATAAGATCAGGGTAAGAAAGATAAGAACATGAATGAGTTTTGATCTGTTATTTGCTTACAGCAAGCAGTACAGTTTTTCATTATGTTTGCTCCATCAGCTATTAATGAAATAAGCAGTGACCCTTGGACAATGCCAACCCTCTCTCTATCAAAATTTCAGAAACTGATCTTAGATCTCATCAAAGACATTACAGAGCTATTTAAGTCTCTCCCTTCTCTGGGAATGGGCACTGACACCAAGTTAAAGATTACACTAATGTTTTGCTTAGTGTCATAGGCACAGAAAAGAACAGAGTTTGAGACAAAAGCTTCAGGGCAGAATGCTTCAAAGTGTAACGAAAAATGGTGATGAGGTATATTGAATTTCAGAGACCTAAATGCTGCAATGCTTTTTCAAATTTCCCATTAAATGCTCCTTCCCTTTCTTCAGTAGTGGAAAATGAGGCTAGGAGGCTTTTAGGGGCAAACTGTGGCCGCTCCTGTGCTGCATCCCAGAAGAAGAGAAAGGCAGAAAGCATTGCAACAAGACTGGTGGGGCCGGGGCTGTGCAGAACGGCAGGATACTGCTGATTGAAATGGAAGCACTGGCAGTGGAGGGGATTGCGTGGGTCCAAAAAGAGCCATTTAAAAGCATTAAGTGCTTTATCTTATGGGCAGAGAGAGTCCCCTCCAAGCTGATAAAGGCAATGCATCAGGATCTGGGAGCTCAAGCAAAATGTTTTCCAATGTTTCTGCATTCAGAAACCTCAGTGGCAGCTTTTCTGGTCCCATGGCACAGGGACCCCAGTAGATGGCGGTGGTTTTTCCTTATACCATGCATACCTCTGATTTCGGAAGAAAATTGTACTTCCCTCCAACCTATCATTTATGCATTTTTTTAAGTTAAAAAAAAAAAAAAATCACATATCAATCTGAAGAGCCAGCTCAAATAATGAAGCTGCCAAAGTGGTATTTTTGAGAGCCGCTGAAAGACAGGAAAGTATTAACACCTCCAAAAGCCACTGTTCCGTGCTACGGGGGAATAAAGGAATGAGATGAACATTTGTCTAGAATATAGAAAAAATCTCACAAAGCCTTCCGTGGGAATTGAAAGGACCCAAAGCAACTGTTTTACACATAAAAATAAAAAGAAAGTTTTAGAGACCACTGGGGATACCACATTGAACAATAACTTTTCCGCATTGCTATCTAATTTGATGTATGACAGCTCTTTCTCATATCTTACCATGTATATGCATTGTGGGAAAGCACTTTACAGCTCTCATGACAGAGTGAGACTTTTTTCTCAGCATACTTGTTCAAAAATGCTTGAGTTTAACTATGCAGACAATAAAGTGCCTTCATATCTCTGTAACTGTATAGTAAGTTACTTCTGATAGAAAACACTGTAATAGAGAGACTTTCTTTTTTTATTTTCTTTTCTATGGGACAGAGAAAGAGCCTGTGATGAGGACCCCAGTCACTGCTGCTGTTCAGTATTAGCACAGCAGTTGCCTGAGCTGTCAGTTGTTAGGCACCGTTTCAAACCCCTATCCAAAACACTCCATGGTCCCTACCTGGAGGGCATCTCTCTCATCCTGTGGCACTTAACAGGTAAGCTACAGCCAGGTGACAAAAACCCAGGAAATTCTTGAAAGTGTCAGACAATGCTCACACATCAAACAGAAAGAGGAAAAGAAATGAAAAAGATAGCTATCTTGGACAGAAAAATGCTGTCAGCAGAAATAAGGAAACTTATGGCAAGACAGGTAAAAGGCAGAGGTCAGCCTCAAATGATTGGAATCCATCATGCTGAGAAACCCCAGTATCTCTTACTAAAATAATTCTAATTCCCTTATGAGTGCAGAAATCTACCATTGAGGCAAAAGAATTAACCACTCAGACAGGATCATCTTGCTTTGCTAATGTACCCTACATTAAATACCAGGGGCTGAGGTAGTGTCCTGGTTTCGGCTGGGATAGAGTTAATTTTCTTCCTAGTAGCAGGCACAGTGCTGTGTTTTGGATTTAGTAGGAGAAGAATGTTGATAACACACTGATGGTTTAGTTGTTGCTCAGCACTGCTTATGCTAGTCAAGGACTTTGTAACTTCTCATGCTCTGCCAGGGGCACAAGAAACTGGGAGGGGGCACAGCCAGAATAGTTGATCCCAACTGCCCAAAGGGCTATTCCATACCATATGGCGTCATGGGCAGTATAGGGACTGGGGGGGTTGGCCAGGGAGCAGCGATCGCTGCTCGGGA